GTTTGGGCAGTGGTCAGGTTTGGACTGTGGCCACGTTTGGGCAGTGGTCAGGTTTGGACTGTGGCCACGTTTGGGCAGTGGTCAGGTTTGGACTGTGGCCACGTTTGGGCAGTGGTCAGGTTTGGACTGTGGCCACGTTTGGGCAGTAGTCAGGTTTGGACTGTGGCCACGTTTGGGCAGTGGTCAGGTTTGGGCTGTGGTCAGGTTTGAGCTGTGGTCAGGTTTGGGCTGTGGCCAGGTTTGGGCAGTGGCCTCGTTTGGGCAGTGGTCAGGTTTGGGCATTGGTCAGGTTTGGGCAGTGGTCAGGTTTGGGCAGTGGTCAGGTTGGCTTGCGATGGGTTAAAAGGCCCTGATAAAGAAAATATAAACCTGACCAAATGACACATCATAGCACAAGGACACATGTCAACATTACTGTCTAGATTATTATTGACAAAACACATTGACGTGTTGTTTTCTAGTGAGTTTTTTTTTTTTACACCGTTCAAGAAATTAACAAATTTGAAAACATTTTAAGCAATTAAATTTAAAAAAAAATCCTTTATATATCAATTTTCATTTTAAAAAAATCAAATATTGTCATATCAGCATAATTTAAGTTCGATAAATTTCTATCTAACACAGTGGTTCTTAACCTTTTTGGAGGTACCGAACCCCACCAGTTTCATATGCTCATTCACCGAACTCTTCTTAATGGGAAAAATAAAACATTATTTTTTTCCTGATCTTTTCGGACATCCGCCGAACCCCTGAGACTGATTCACCGAACCCCTGGGGTTCGATCGAACCCAGGTTAAGAACCACTGATCTAACATGTTCTCAGATCGCCAGTGTAGACTAATTTGTTAAACGTCTATATCAGAGGTCTTCAGATTCTCTTCGTTGGCCAATCTGTTGGTATCGGGCTTGACAATCCGGTTATTAGATAGCGGGCCAGCAGACGAACAGTTAACCCCTTCGACCCCTTGACCAATGAAGGCTTGGTCAGCCTCACAAAGGTCCCCTTGGAAAGCCTAGAACGTAGGAACGCATCTAATCAGTTTAACCTGTATGCAGCTTAGTAGTAGCAGCGAAGAAATATGGCAAAGAATGTATCAGCAGTTGAATCAAAGAATGTATCAGCAGTTGAATCAAAGAATTTATCAGCAGTTGAATCAAAGAATGTATCAGCAGTTGAATCAAAGAATGTATCAGCAGTTGAATCAAAGAATGTATCAGGGGTTGAATCAAAGAATGTATCAGCAGTTGAATCAAAGAATGTATCAGCAGTTGAATCAAAAAATGTATCAGCAGTTGAATCAAAGAATGTATCAGGGATGAATCAAAGAATGTATCAGCAGTTGAATCAAAGAATGTATCAGCAGTTGAATCAAAGAATGTATCAGCAGTTGAATCAAAGAATGTATCAGCAGTTGAATCAAAGAATGTATCAGGGGTTGAATCAAAAAATGTATCAGCAGTTGAATCAAAGAATGTATCAGCAGTGGAATCAAAGAATGTATCAGAAATTGAATCAAAGAATGCCATTTAATAAATATCTAATATGCAGACCTTTCCATTTTGAATAATCATTATACTAATTTATAGCATTAAAAGTATACTATTAAAAGTATAGATGGCTAGGTCATGTTAAAAGAATGAGTCCCGGTCGCATTCCGAAAGACCTCCTATATGGTGAGCTTGCTTCGGGAAAGAGGAAAACAGGTCGCCCACGTCTGCGATTTAAAGATGTCTGTCAAAGGGACATGAAAGCAGCCAAAATACACACAAGCGACTGGGAGTGTAAGGCAGAAGACCGATCTACGTGGCACACAGTTGTCAAAGAGGGCGTCATGGTAGCCGAGGAGCGAAGAATTTAAGAGGATGCAGACAGAAGAGCTAGGAGAAAGGCCAAAACATGTAGAAGCACGGAACTCGTGTGTAAAAACTGTGGTAAAGACTGTCACTCAAGGATAGGACTGCACAGCCACTCGAGAAAATGCAACCCAACCCAACGGTGATGCACCATCGTCTCACGAGACGGAAGGATGCCGATTATAAAAGTATAACACCAATCACAAAATTATAAATAATATACATTGCTGGGATAAAATTTAATCGACTTTTTAAATTAAATCTGATAATTTTCTCTGTATGGACATGTCCATACAACTGTACGTGTATTTGAACAAAAATACAACATACATTATATGGAGAAGAATGAATAGGAATATGATGTATCACTGAGGATATATTTGATTTGGGTTAGAGAGTATATGATGGAGGCTAAATAGGACCAGTAGACGACCGCTTCATATAATCTCTAACAAAAGACGTGGACACAAGCTGGTTTTGTTTAAATTTTTTTAGTGTACAAAAAAACCCCCACAAAAAAACAATGCAATTTTAAAAGGAATTATTTGAATTGATTAAAGAAATAAAAAAAAAAAAAAATTTGTGTGGGAGATGGCAGAAGAGTGTTTGTGCCGGATACAGGTGGACGGTGTGGAAAAAGTGACCTGACAGTCGCTGGGTCATCCAGTTGTAACTTCAAATAAATAAGAAATACCTTGTGGTTTTTAAACTGGGGGCCTACTGATGATAAGTAGCGTCGGACACACTTCGGGAGCCAAATCAACAGTGTGTCGGACACAGCCAGGAGACAACGAAGATCGACTTCGCCAGGTTTGTTCATACCTTGGGGGAGAAAAAAATGGAGGGTGGGGGGTTGGGGGAGGGGTGGATGTGGTGGGTGGGTTGATGAAAACGGTACTAAACATTTTTCTTTTCAACGCACGTTTTTTTTTTTGTTTAGATTCAGCTTAGAGTTTGATTAGGGTTGTGTACATAAATAAATTAAAAGATATACGTATACTAGTTGTAAAACAAAAAAAATATCAACAGTATGGTAAAATAACAATTTAATTCTTTCCATTCGGCAAAGGGTAGAGGTGGGGAGGGGAGGGGGGGGGCACTCTGTAAACAAGGGATTCCAATTAAATTTACAAATAACTATAATGTTTCATTTTTTAAATTTAATTTTGAAATTTATTTTCCCG